CTCTGCTCAAGAGTTGAGCAAATATGGGGTGCCTCACTGGCTCAGTCAGTAGAGCTTGCAACTCAATCATGGGGTCATGAGTTTGAGCTCTTCATGGGGTGTAGAGATTACTTAAATATATAAAGCTTAAAAAATGGGCATTCATGTTTATAGGTTAAAAATTCAAAACACAGGGGCACCTGGGTGGCTCAGTCGGTTAAGTGTCTCACTTCAGCTCAGGTCATGATCTTATGGTTCATGAGTTCAAGCCCCACATTAGGCTCACTGCTGTCAGCACAGAGCCCACTTCAGATCCTCTGTCCCCCCCTCTCTACCCCTCCCCCATTTGCGCTCTCAAAAATAAATTTTTTTTTAAATTTCAAAACATATAATTAACTCAAATTTATTGATTATATTGTTTAGACTCCGTATCAGCAGTACTTAATGTTTTTTGGGTCAATGACCCTTTTTGAAAGTGAAGTTCTAAATTATAGGTTAAAACTTTGAACCCTCTTTTTTTTTTTTTTTTAAATGTTTTTCTTTATTTCTAGGAGAGAGAGAGAGAGACAGCGTGAGCAGGGTAGGGTCAGAGAGAGAGGGAGTCACAGACTGAAACAGGCTCCAGGCTCTGAGCTGGCAGTCAGCACAGAGCCCGACACGGGGCTCGAACCCACGAACTGCAAGATCGTGACCTAAGCTAAAGTCAGAAGCTTAACCGACTAAGCCACCCAGGCGCCCCTGAACCCTATCTCAATTAAAAAAACATATACACAAGTTTTTTGGGTTTTTTTCTTTTTTCTTTTTTTTTTAAAGTAAGCTCTACACCCAGCATGGAGCTTCAATTCATGACCCTGAGATCAACATTCTAGAGACTGAGCCAGACAAATGTGCCCCTCACACAAGTATTTTTATCTAATTGTTTTCAGGTCATTTGTGAATCCTCTGAAAGTCCCTAAGGCCATTTCTCTGTTTATTTTTGTCTACTTGGCTAGAAATACAAGGAAAAGTGTCTCCAAAGTATGTTAAACACTTTTTACTTTTTTTTTTTTAAGAGAAAGAGAGAGCACACGGATTGTGAGTAGAGGGAGAGAGGGAGAGATGGGAAGGGGAGGAGGTAGGGAGAGAGGGAAGAGAAGGGGGATAGGGAGAGCAGGGTCCAGGCTCAGCATGGAGCCCAAGTTGGAGTTCAAGCCCATTGACGCCAGGATCATGCCTTGAGCTAAAATCGAGTTGGATGCTCAACTGACAGAGACACCCAGGTGCCCCATTGTAAACACTTATTAAAAGATATTTGTTACATTTTTCAAAATGCTGAAGTCTTCATTTTTTTGACTTTCATTAAAAAAATTTTTTTTAATGTTTACTTATTTTTGAGAGAGAGAGAAAGAACAAGCAGGGGAGAAGCAGAGAGAGAGGGAGACACAATCCAAAGCAGGCCCCACACTGGGCTCACAACTGTCAGCACAGAGCCCAATGAGGAGCTCAAACCCACGAACCATAAGATCATGACCTGAGCTGAAGTTGGACACTTAACCAACTGAGCCACCCAGATAACCCTCATTTTTTTTTTTTTTACCTTTTGATGAAAATCATTGCTTTTATTAATATAAATTAGTACCTTTTTTTTCCAATTTGATGCTTTCTTGTCTTCTATTTTACTTTTTCTAATTTGGGGGAAACTCTCATTTACCTAAAAAATTTCTGCTCATCCCTTTATTTTTCATTAATCCACAACTTAAGTAGGTCATTTGTGAGGTGGGCTGGGGGAGGGCAAAGGAGGGGGGGTGGAGTGCAGGTGGGAAATGGGTTAAAAAGGTGAAGAGTAGGCAGCTCTTTCTGCCTATGGGTCTGTTCCTGTGATTTAATAAAATCACCTATTTGCACCAAACAACAAAAACAAAAAGAGGTGATGGGTATTAAGGAAGGCATTTGTGCCGAGGACCAGGTGTATGTATGTAAATGATAAATCACTAAATTCTATACCTGAAACTAATACTGCACACTGTTAACTAGCTGGAATTTAAATATAAACTTAGAGAAAAAAATAAGTTTGCTACTTGTAAATGGCAGAGAGTTAGATTTCACAGAGGAATTACTCTCATGCGTTCAATAAATATTTTGAATGTCTATTACTTGCCAGACACCTTTAATCCATTCAGATATGCTGTAGTAACAGATCTGTTTGGTTTGCTCTGAGCTATATTTTAAAAAATATAAACTTAAGCCATCTTAAAATCCTCCTCTGGTTCCTCTGTGTCTGAGCAATCAAGCTAATTTGAATGCTATGAAAGGCTCTTTGTGACCAGTTCTTTTTTCCTTTCATCTTGCTACTTCTCAACCTATCCTAGGTCCACTTCAGCCCCACCTACATGCAATTCTCCAAACTTTCCACACCCTTCACAAAATCTGGTTCTCTGTACTTGGAATTATTTCTCCCTTCTTCTTTTTTTTAAACACTTATTTCTTATAGAGACAGAGAGAGACAGAGTACAAATGGGGGAGGGTCAGAGAGAGGGAGACACAGAATCCAAAGCAGGCTCCAGGCTCTGAGCTGTCAGCACAGAACTCAAAGTGGAGCTCAAAACTCATGAACTGTAGATCATGACCTGGGCTAAAGTTGGACACTTAACCAAAAGAGCCACCCAGGCACCCCTCTTTCCTCCTTCTATACAATCTTCAGGATTCAGTTCAAAGACCCAGGGCCTTCACTACCACCACCCCATATTACCACTTTGTGCTGCTCTTCCAACTTCCATTTTCAACTGCCTACTAAATAACCCTACCTGAATATCCCACAGCCTTCTCAGATTGCATATGACCCAAAGGGAAAATCTCAACCTCCCCCAAAATGAGCTCATTCCCTCTTGATCCCTAACTCAATAAACCAGGTACTACCACCTACCCTCTTGCTAAAATTAGAATCCCAAGCACCATACCTGGCTCACACTCCTTAATTTATACCATGTTCTGCCAATTCTATCCATGAATTTCTCTCAAATTCATCAGTGATTTCTATCCCTTCTGCCTCTACCTAGTTAGGCACCAATGTCTAATCTGGATTCCTGAAACCATTTCCTATTTACTTCCCTATACCTCCAATCCTAATTTCCCCTGCAACCCGTCCTCTGCAAGTCTCCTAGGATTCTGTCTAAACACAATTCTGAACATGTTATTCCTCTGCTTTTAAACTTTAGTGGATAAGGGTGGGGGTGGGTAACTCTGAAGATACAAGAACCCTCTACACGTCCTTGAAATAAACCCCAAACTCCTAAGTGGGCCTTCTAAAGTACTACAAGCATAATCCTCTCCAGACTCATCTGTCCACTACGTCTAGGGCACACTCCGCTTTTCCAGCTCCCCTACTACTCGGTGCTCTGCACGTACTGTTCCCTCTGCCTGTAATACTCTTCTATCTGGCTCACTCCTAGTCATTCTTCAGCACAACCATGACATCACTTCTGTTTTAAATCATTCTCTAAATCCCAAAATCACAGTTGGGTCTCCCTTCCATGTGATTCCACCATACATCCCACAGATTCTGCCACACCAAAAGCCTATTTATTTGTCCACTTTCCGTACTAGTGTATAAACTCCAAATGCAAAGTCACTGTTTTTCTTGCTTATCATGGCTTTCCAAGAATTTAGTACAAAGTGGTTAATCAATAGACATTTTGTTAGGTAATTAAGTACAGTGATAGGAACAGATGAAATCAGAAGAAAAAATAAAAACTGTACATGTCCTAAAGCTACAGGAACAATTAAAACATTCACATATATAACTATGAAATAAAGATTTAAGCACAATAGTAGAGAGGATCTAAACAAAGAGAAATACTAATTTGATCTCTCTAGGCCATCTCCAGAGTAAAATGCCATAACTGTTCAGAGCATGCAAAGAAAATACTGCAACACTTATTTAAATATATTTTTAATTTTTATTTTGCATTATGTTGTCTAATGTGCTTAATATAGTAACATATTGAGTTGTACAAGCATTCATGTATGGGGTGGTCCTCAACTTTTAACTGAGTAGACAAAAAAAAGCTTGGAAACCATAGTTCTAGGGTATTTGATCTTTACCTCTGTGTATTGTGGAAGGAGGCCCAGATGGCTTTCAGAATTGGATGGAAACTAAGAATTATCTCCCAGAAAAATGAGCACAAATATACATATTTTAAAACTTTTACAGGGTTTCTAGGGTATCTTGGCCCTCAGGTTAAGTCTTGCCCTAGGGTTTCCAACTCTAAAGCCAGGAGGAGACTGCTAGTAGGAAGAGGTCATTAAAATGTCTGGAGCCCTTTGATTCTATTATTCCTTACCTTCTCTCTTCTCCACAATCCTGCTCCTCCTCCCCCCCACAGCTCAATCACCACACCTGTCCCTAGGAAGGCTTGGAATTTCTAGTCTATAACTCCCATAGAGTGTAGGAATGCAGTGAAATATTTCCTTCTCAAAGGTATAACATACACATCAATTATTCCCAAGCCATAATCATAATTTTGCTATTTCCCAAAGCACTCACATTATTATTTTCTTAATTTTTAAAAATCAACTTTTAAACCAAATTTAATTTTAAATGTAAAGACATCCTAAGCATCTGTGAATTCAGTTTTGATGCCTGATTATTTTCCTACATACATCAAAATAAACATACTTAAAATAAGGACTCTAGACCCTCATCAGCACCAAGTTTTAGAGCATAATCCCAAGGTTTCTGCATTTACTCTGAAATCTCTGTTGAATAGGCAATAATTCAGGCATCAAGTTTTCTTAAAGTAACAAAGAAACTTCAAAAGTATTTGGTCCAATCCTCTCATTTTGTAGACTAAAAAGATGAAACCCAGACAGGTTAAGTGATTTGTCCAAGAGCAGATGAGAAATTTAAGAAAAAGTCTAGGATCAGCATTCAGGTATACTATCAGTCCAGTATGTGTTCCACTATACTGTCTATACTGTGTCCATTCAGATTGCACTAGAAAAACAATTAACACAGTATCAAGAATTTTTCATCTGTTACCTACCTCACTCTTCCATTCAGATTTATCTGAACATGCTGCTTAAAATCTGGATATTTGGATGCCAAATAAGCAAAGTCAGGAGGTTTGTCCTTGTATCTATTCCTTGCATGCATTGATTTACTCAGAGCCATCTTTAAAAAGAAAAAAAGGAAAAAGGTCAGCATATTTAATTAAAAAAAAAAAACATTAACGGGAAAAAGCTGTGGTTGCCAAGTCAACAGTTATAGCCAACATATTTTTGCTAATCAACTGAGAAAGTAGAAATTATATTTTTTAAATGTATACAACAAATAAACACACGAAAAGATGCTTAACATCACCATGAATCATTAGGGAAATGCAAATCAAAACCACAATATCACTTCACACCTACTAGGATGACTACTAGGATGACTAGGATGGAGTCAAAAAAAGGAATAAAATTCTGATACACCCTACAACATGGATGAACCTTAAAAACATTATGTAAGGGAAACAAGCCACGTACAAAAGACAAATATAGTATTTTCCCATTTATAGGAGGTAGCAAGAATAGGCAAATTCATATAAAGAGTAGAATAGAGGTTACTAGGGTTTGGGAGGGAGGTAGGAATGTTGAGTTATTATTTAATGGGTACATGGTTTCTGTTTAGGATGAGGAAAAACTTCTAGAAATGGACGGTGGTGATGGTTACACAACACTGTGAATGCACTTAATGCCACTGAATAGTACACTTAAAAATGGTTAAAATGGTAACTTTTATGTTATGTATATTTTATCACAGTTTGAAAAATGTACACAACATACGGTGTTTTTTTTAAACCATGGGAAGAAAACCAGAAACTATCCTTTTGAAAGCATCAAAGGGGCAGAAGGCAGTATAATCTCCAGCCATGAAGTAATAGAGGTTAGTTTTTACAGTGTTCTTGTATGGACTGAATATTTGGTAGTACACCATAAAGTCACTAACATTTCTTTTTTGTTTTTTAATATTTTTTATTTATTTCTAGGAGAGAGAGAGAGACAGTGTGAGCAGGGGAGGGTCGGAGAGAGAGGGGGATACAGACTCTGAAATTGGCTCCAGGCTCTGAGCTGGCAGTCAGCACAGAGCCCGACGCGGGGCTCGAACCCATGAACCGCAAGATCATGACCTAAGTGAAAGTTGGACGCTTCACAACCAACTAAGCCACCCAGGTGCCCCGTCACTAACATTTCAAAATACACTATTTTATAAATTTCAATCTTGTCATTCCTACGTAGCTACAACCATGCATTAATCTGGAAGAAAAAAATTGTTTTCATTTGGTTTTAGCTACCTAGGAATGACAAGACTGAAACTTATGGTATACTACCCGGTACCTCAGCTGTATGCTGAAGCAGGCCCAGCACAGCGCGCGGCCTTACCTAGTTTTTCACCATCAGTTTATGTCATACCTATCCTTGCTCTTCTTTCTGTCCCTCCACTCTGGCAACAGGGTCTTTACACAGTTTATTCCCTTTGTAATATTCTTTCCTCTTCCTCTTCACCTAGTGAATTCCTACCTATCCTTTTTTTAATATTTTTATTTTTTTTTGAGTGAGCACAGCTAATGTGCAGCCAGCAAGTGGGGGTGGGGCAGAGAGCACGAGAATCCTAAGCAGGCTCCACACTCTTCAGTGCAGAGCCTGATGTGAGGCTGGAATTCTCTAACCCAATCATGGGATCATGACCCGGGCTGAAATCAAAAGCCAGATGCTTAATAGACTGAGCCAGCCAGGCACCCCTCCTACTCATTCTTACTCTCAGTTCAAATATCTCTTCAGGAAGGTGTTTTCTTCCGTCATCTCCCTAGTTAAATCATATTCCCTATTATAAAGTCTCCTAGCAACAAGCACCTTTCCTTTGTAGGCTTATTAGAGATGTAACTTTACATAGCAATGGATCTGCTAATACTCTATTTCAAGTTTTTGACAACTTTCTACATTGAAAAAAATTTTTTTTAAGTTTTTAACTTAAGTATAAATAGCATAGTGTTTTATATTCATTTCAGGTGTATGATATATTGGTTCTACAATTCTTATTCCTCAGTGCTCAACAAAGTAAGTGTACTCTTAATCCCCTTTATTTCATCACCCCCCCAAAGCCTCCCCTCTGGGCATCACCAGTTTATTGTTTGCATTTAAGAGTGTTTTTTGGAAGACACCTGGGTGGTTCAGTCTGCTAAGCATCCAACTCTTGATTTCAGCTCAGGTCATCATCGCATGGGGTCATGGGATGGAGCCCCAAGTCACACTCCGTGCTGAGCTAAACAAGGAGCCTGCTTAGGATTCTCTCTCTCTCCCTCTTTCTGCCCCTCCCTTGCAGATGTGCATCCTCTCTCTCTCAAAATAAACATTTAAAAGAAAAGAATCTGGTTTTTTTTGCTCATCTCCCTTTTTTTCATTTCTCTAAATTCCACATGAATGAAATCACATGGTATTTGTCTCTCTTTGACTTATTTCACTCTGAAGCAGGCTCCAGGCTCTGAGCTGTCCATGTAGAGCCTGATACGGGACTGGAACTTGTGAACCACGATGAGACCATGACCTGAGCCCAAGTCAGATGCTTACTGAATGAGCCACCCAGGCGCCCCAAGATTTCATTATTTTTAATGGCTAAGTAATATTTCATCATGTACACAGACACCTTTTATTTTTTTGTAGTTATGTTTTTATTTTTATTTTTTTAATAGCTTATTGTCAAGTTGGTTTTCATATAACACCCAGTAGTTATCCCCACAAGTGCTCTCCTCCATGCCCATCACCCCCTCATCCCCTCCCCCACCCCCATCAGTTCTCCGTTTGTTCTCAGCATTCAAGAGTCTCTCATGGTTTGCCTCCCTCTCCCCCACTATTTTTCCCCTTCTTCTCCCCCACGGTCCTCCATTAAGTTCCTCTTATTCCTCCTATACATGCAAACATATGGTATTTGTTCTTCTCTGCCTGACTTATTTCGCTCAGCATAACACCCTCAAGGTCCATCCATGTTGCTACACATGGCCAGATTTCATTCTTTCTCATTGCCATGTAGTATTCCATTGTATAGATAAACCACATCTTCTTTATCCATTCATCTGTTGATGGACACTTAGGCTCTTTCCATGTTTTGGCTATTGTTGAGAGTGCTGCTATGAACATTGGGGTACATGTGCCCCTATGCATCAGCACTCCTGTATCCCTTGGGTAAATTCCTAGCAGCGCTATTGCTGGGTCCTAGGGGAGTTCTATTGTTAATTTTTTGAGGAACCTCCACACTGTTTTCCAGAGGGGCTGTACCAGTTTACATTCCCACCACCAGTATAGGAGGGTGCCAGTTTATACACATCCTCGTCAGCATCTAGAGACCTCTGATTTGCTCATTTTAGCCACTCTGACCGGCGTGAGGTGGTATCTCAATGTGGTTTTGATTTATATTTCCCTGATGAGGAGGGAGGCTGAGCATCGTTTCATGTGTCTGTTGGCCATCTGGATGTCCTCTTTGGAGAAGTGTCTGTTCATATCTTCTGCCCATTTCTTCACTGGGTTGTTTGTTTTTCGGGTGTGGAGTTTGGTGAGTTCCTTATAGATTTTGGATACCAGCCCTTTATCTGATATGTCATTTGCAACTCTCTTTTCCCATTCCGTCATTTGCCTACTACAATGCTACAATCATTTCCATCTTACTGTTTACTCTATCATACAATAAATATTTGTTGAGTGAATAAATAATTCAGAATTTAGGGGAATTAATAGTCACCTGAAAGTTTTTCAGCATACTAAGCTACCACCTTTTGCCTTTAACATTATCACAGAAACTCACTATATACAAGTTTTAATTTCCTAACATTTATACCCTTACGGACTATCAAGAAAGAGGGGAGCATAAAACTAGGAAAAAGAACAAGTCCCCATGAAGAAGCTGACTTCAGTTGACTGAGCACCTGACTGGCTCAGTCAGTACAAAATTTGACTCTTGATCTTGGAGTTGTAAATTCAAGCCTCATGTTGGGTGTAAAAATTACTTAAAAATAAAATTTAAAAAAAAGGAAAATGTTTTCCTTTCTTGTGATTCTGGCAAGCAACAAAATAAAAGTACTCTAACAGTAATTTCAAGGGACACTGATATGTAAGACTCTGCAACACATTAAGATCCTAACCACTGCATACATGACATATTCTGAACATATAAGAAGCAAATTAAATACCAGATATGGCAGATTCTATTCATATCCTACATTAATCAACCTGTATGGTTAGAACACATACATACACAGAAAGATCGGGACGCCTGGGTGGCTCAGTTGGTTAAGTGGCAGACTTTGGCTCCGGTCATGATGTCACACAGTTCGTGAGTTCGAGCTCCACTTTGGGCTCTGGGCTAACAGCTCTAAGCCTGGAGCCTGCTTCAGATTCTTAGTCTTCCTCTCTCTCTATCCCTCCCCTACTTGCACTCGGTCTCTCTCAGAAATAAATAAAATATTAAAAAACATTTAGTTTTATTTTATTTTTGAGAGAGAGTGAGAGAGAGAGACAGTGTGAGCAGGGGAGGGTCAGAGAGAGAGGGAGACACAGAATTTGAAACAGTCTCCATGTTCTGAACTGGCTGTCAGCAGACCCCAACGTGGGGCTCAAACCCACAAACCGTGACCTGATCCAAAGTCGGATGCTTAACCAACTGAGCCACCTGGGAAACATTTTTTAAAAAAGCATACAGAAAGAATAAAGCCACCTTTTTACTAACCAACTTTCTAATGCAAGCAGTGGGGTCTTAGCTAAATCTATCCTATTCTGAGTATCAGCGCTTACCTGGAATAACACTGTCACTCCCTGCTTCTCATTTAATCTCCCTTTCTCTTCCTGGCTCATTCTTATCTAAGTCATACTGGCCTCCTTGGTTTTGTTTATTTTTTTAATGATTTATTTCTGAGAGAGAGAGAGTGAGAGAGAGACTGAGCAGGGGAGGGTCAGAGAGACAGGGAGATATAGAATCTGAAACAGGCTCTAGGCTCTGAGCTAGCCATCAGCACAGAGCCCGACGCGGGGCTCTAACCCACAAACCGTGAGATCATGACTTGAGCTGAAATCGGATGCTTAACCAACTGAGCCACCCAGGAGCCCCATGGCCTCCTTGTTTTTTAATCAAACCTGGCACACTCCTGCCTCGGGGCTTTTGTACTAGGTCTATACGGAATGCTCTTCCCCCAGAAATACATACATACCAGGTGCCTCACCCTCCTCAGCCTTTGATAAAACCTCGCCTTCTCACTGATGCCTTTCCCATTTTTAAAAAAAAATATATTATTTTTTTTTTAAAGTAAGTTCCATGCCCAACGTGGGGCCCGAACTAACCACCCCTAGATCAAAAAGTAATGCCCTATTGACAGAGCCAGCCAAGGGGCAGGCCCTGATGCCTTTCCGTATAGTGCAGTGAGTTAACTCCCTTAATAGTTTCAGTACTCTACATAGAACTTACTCATCTGATATTCCATATACAGCATTTACTTACTTTTTAAAATCTGCCCTGCCAGTAAGCTTCATGAGGGAAAATATTTTGTCTGTCTTGTTCACTGTGATATCCCCGCGCCTAAATTAGGGCCTGGGAGAATAGACACTCTTAAGTATCTGTTCACTGAACACACGATGAAACTCTTCAACTGTCCCAGAACACTGAAACACAGCACTCTCATTCTTTGTAAACAGTCCTCAACTGGACACTCAAAAAGGATCAGCTCTACTTAGGCCTGGAGCTTTCTCTTGCGAGTTACAGAAAGCCAAAGTAGTACACCCTTGGAACTGAGACTTGGCTTTTCTTTGATCTTTGCCATTTCCATGCTATTTCCTTGGTTTCTCCTGGCACTCTTAATAACATTCTCAAACTGCCATTTATCTTAACACAAAAGAGTCTAAATTCCACGTCGAATTCTAATTTCCGCTTGGAACTTCGAAATTTCTTCTGCATAAATCTCTCCCGGTTCAACCCCAATCTCCGTTTTCTCTCCTCGCCTTGCTTCATAAATCTTTTTCCTCTAGTTCCGCCATTGCCAGTTCTCCATCTCCTCCACTCCTCCCACAGATTCATCCTACCCACTCACTCGGTCTTTTCGCCGCAGTTTCAGATCTCTCTAAACCTCCTCAGCCCCTGGGATCTTTCTTACTTCAATCCTAGCCCCCATTCTGTACGCCAACTCCTCCCATCCACCGCACCACCATTACCCCCCTCCACGTGCGCGCGCGCACCCACCCACTCTAGCCACTCACTCACCCATGTGGTCTATCTCCCTAGACCCAAAGTCAGTACATCACAGGTGCAGAACCCGCACGCGCACACACACACACACACACACACACACACACACACACAAACACCCACAAAACCACTCACCCAGAGGTTCTGTCTCCCCAGGCCCGAAGTCAGCAACTCACCAGCCCAAAACCCAGGAATAAGGAATTCAGGCCGTGCAGAGGTTAAATGACCTCTCTACACTCCCAAGAGATACTAAACGACTCACCTCTGAAATCAATGTTTCTTCAAGACGAGCAGTCTGGAGTAGGCCCCTACAACACTAGAATCTTAAACCACCCGCAGAGCGAAGCTCCTAGAAACGCAGATGTTACGCTCCAAGCGCGCCGCCATGTTGGGCAACCATTCAGCTTCGTGATTGGACGAAGCACTCTCGCGCGACCTGTAGCAGAGTCTGAGGAAGAAGGAAGCGTCGCGAGACCTGGAGTTTGAGGCCCCTGACACGAGGAAGGGGCGAGGTGGCAAACGGAGTCTTTTGCGTAAGCGTACCTGCTCTAGAATCTGCTTGAGAACTTGTTTTTTGTTTGTTTGTTTTAATGTATATATTTTAAAATGTAGCTTTCTGGATACCACCTCAGACTTACTAAATCACTCTCTGAGGTTGGGCAGGAATATGAAAACGGCGGGTGGAGGGGACTTTAGGATTTGATGGCGAGAAGTTAGCGTTTATTGTGCAACAGGTCTCTCCCTATGTTGCCTCGTTTGATAAACCTGTGGTATGAGGAGTACTCTCATTTACAGCGTCAGAAGTGGGGATCAGAAATAATAAGTCGTTTGGTCAAGATCTCGCACCCGGATGACATCAAGCCCATGTTCTTTGTTTCCTCACCTATCACTTGAGCTGAAAGCTCTATTAAAATGCTTTTCATTTTTCTTTTCAACTCGGTTATACTAATTTCTACCCTCTGGTAAGTAGAGTGAGTATTGGCCTCATTTCATAATGGAGACAAAAAGGTAAATCACTTTCAAAAGGTATACAACTAAAGCTAGGACTAAAGTCATCGTCTGGGCCCTCACCTAGTAACTTTTTCCATCAAAGCTTGCCTGGGTCCTAGTAATTAATATGAAAACGTCTGGCAAAGTACTGCTGTAAAATTGAGAGATAGAGGGTAAGAAATGGAGACTTCACTTTATGCAGAACAAAGTGTACCAGCAGTCACCCAAGGAAAGGTGAGGAGGTGATCTCATTATCTATTGTGTAATACACACCACCCTAAAATATACAGCTTAAGACAACAGTTTTATTTGCTCACTGTTCTGCAGGCTAGGCTGGAATTAGTCCAGCTAGTCTTGTTCTGTCCTTGCTGTTGATGGTGGCTGGTTCAGCTTGAGTGACTGGGCCCCTGTCTCCCTGTAGTCTCAAATTCTCTCCCTCTCCATGTGACCTGTCCGTATAATTTCTCCAGCAGAGTAGCCAGACTTCTTACATGGTAGCCCAGGGATCCCAAAAGGGCAAAAGTATAAGCTTCTGGGTCTTCTTAAGGCTTAGGCCCAGAACTGGTGCTTTCATTATTCACTAAATTCTATTTGTTAAAGCAGGTCAGAGGGCCAGGCAGATTCAAGAGGAGGGTATCCTGGAGTTCCAGGATACACTCCAATACTGGAAGCCACAGCTTGCTGGATCTACCAATGAACAGAATACCACAGAAAGTTCTCTTTAGTTGGTAGTGACTTTGTTACTAGTTATTTTTACAATATTTAGTGCTTGCTTCTGGAAAGGTAAAAGAGAAAATGGTTTGGGAGGTATGACTGCTAGGACTGTAAGTGGATTATATCTAAGATGCTGGTGAATTTCTCTATTAGCTCCAAACAGAGATCCAACTGCCCTGTGAGTCAAACCAAAGAGATCCTAGCTCTGTAGGGTTTAAATCACGCCCCAACCACTTACTAACCCCTGATGATGGACAATTTACTTACAATTTACTTTACAATTTACTTACAATTTACTTACAATACCCAAGCCTGGGTTTGCTCAGTGTTGCACAACAGGATAGTAATCTCATATGGTTGTTGTGAGAATTAAATCAGATAATGCATATAAAACAGGATTTTTCTGGCACATAGTAACCTATCATTATTACTGTTATTATTCTCTATAATTTCTTTGGTCAGTTTCCATTTAAAAATTATTTCATAATGATAAAACATGTTCATTATAGAAAATTATAAAAATTTTAAATAATAACAGGAAAGTATGCGAAAGAAAGCAAAAAGTATATAAAATCTCACCAAAATTTGGTAACCTTGCTTCCAGACCTCTATGTTTTCGTAAGGACATATAACTAAACAATTTTTGTAGAAATAGTATTACATGTATTTTTTCTCATATATAAGTCTTGGAGGTTCTCCTACCTCAATTAATATAGTTCTATATCATCCTTTGTGAAGTCTGCATAATATTCCATGTTATGGATGTGCCACAATTTTTAAAAACTTATTTTGCCTATAGGTGGACATGGATTGGGCTGCTCTTATGGTACAATGATGAATACATCTCCTTTGAAAAAAATTTTTTTACATTAAATGAAAATTGTCTAGAGACCCCACAAAATAAATTAGTAACAAATTGAACATCAGACTCCAAAGGCTTGTCTCTCTGACTTACCCTCAAATTCCCAAGAATTTAAGCTTGTAAGAGAAGTCTGTCCACCATCAACACTGTATAGGAGTTCAGTTTAGTCTATTACATCCTTTGCTTTTTGCTGTCTCTTTGTAGTAGGAAATTGATTCTGCACAGACAGTGGGTAATACTGCTAATTCTGAAATGTTACATGTTTGGTACTAGATCTGCTTTCAGCATCAGCCATAACCTGGGCTGAAGTCAACCCTTGAGGGCATTATCCTGAACTCCCACTTTACTGAAGTGAACTATTTCAAAGAACTTGTTACTCCATCCTGCCACTCTCCTTTGGCCAGGGCCAGCCAGTCAACATCCACACATCTCTCTAACTTAATGTCTTAGGGAGTAATGATTGAGTATCAATTCCTTCTACTTCAGAAGACCATGGCCTCCTTATGCCAGTGTATTCAGCTCCTTCTTAGGGACCAAATTAATATATCAGAGATCTAAGGACCACCTTAATTAAGTCGCAAAAGCTATGCCCTAATCACAAAACAATAACTGTTTCTCAGCCTACGGTTACATAACTGAGAGAGCTACTCAAGTGATGCTTTATATGTAGGACACCATATATTTCATTTTTATAAATAATGCTGAATTCTTTTAAGTCTTGAAAAGTAAATTTCAAAAATTAATAGCTGGTAGAAGCACTGGATCTAAATGTACATTTGACTACTTCCTGTTCCAAGCCCCATAAAACAGAATATATTAATTTAAAAACAATAAATTCCAAATAGGACTGAAAACCAGAAATAGCACCATTGACAGACCAGAAATTGGGAGATATTCTGAAAAACCAGGACACAGATAGGAATAACAACTAAACTCCCAAGAGGTTTTTATAGGGAAATGCAGATGATTTTGAAATATATCTGGAAAACAAAATGTGCAACAATAGCTAATAATAGTATTTTCCACTTGGAAAAAAATCATACCATACATAAAAATAACCCCATATGGATAATAAAACAATCATAAAAACAAAATCAACTATAGAAGTGTTAAACGAATGCAGAAGAATGTTTTTATAAAAAGAATAGGGAGGGTCTCCTAAAGACACAAAGCTCAAAAAACATAAAAGTTACTAAACTGAGTTACATAAAAATTTAAAAATTCAATATAATAAAAGATACTACCAATAATTGACAACAAACAGGGAGAAAATATTTGTACTATATACAACAAAGAGTTAATATCCAAGATACATTCTCAAATAATGTCAAATCAATAATCCAATGTTAAAAGTGAGTAATGGAGGGGCGCCTGGGTGGCTTAGTCGGTTGGGCGTCCGACTTTCACTTAGGTCATGATCTCGCGGTTCGTGGGTTCGAGCCCCGCATCGGGCTCTGTGCTGACTGCCAGCTCAGGGCCTGGAGCCTGTTTCGGAGTCTGTGTCTCCCTCTCTCTCTGACCCTCCCCTGCTCACGCTGTCTCTCTCTCTCTCTCCTAGAAATAAATAAAAATATTTTTAAAAAAATAAATAAATAAAAGTGAGTAATGGATATGAAAAAGAAATTCACAAGAGTATATATAGTTGACCTACGAAAATATGTAAAAAATTCTCAAATGCATAAATAACCATACAAAAGCATAGTTAAATAACTCTAAGTACCATTTTTTAACACATTAGATTAATAAAAATAAAAAAATATTGATAACATCCAACTCTGGCAAAGGTTAGTGTGTTAGTTTTTGCTGTGTAACAAGCCATCCTAAAACTTAGTGGCTTTAAACAACAGGCATTAATTATTACTCACAATTCTGTATATCATCTGGGTAGTTATTCAGGTTCACTGATGTCTACAGTTCTCTAGAGGTTAAGCTGAGGCTTGGATGATCTGGGATGACCTTACTCATGTGTCTGGCAGTTGGGAGGCTGGTTGGTCTAGGGTCAGTGTGGCCAGTGGGCCAAATCTGGCCACACCAATTTATTTACATACAGTTTATGGAAACAGCAGAGTTGAATAGTTGCAAGACAGGCCATATAGCCCAGAAAGCCAAAAATATTTACCATGTGGCCCTATGTAGAAAAAAGGTTGCCAACCCCTGGTCTAGGAAGCCTAAGCTGGAAGTACTTGTGTCTGCTTCACATTGTTTCTCACCCTCCAATAGCATAGACTGGGTTTACTCACATGGCAGCAACATTCCAAGAGAGTGAGAAAGTAAGCTCCAATAGCTCTTAAGGGCTAAGCCAAATTAAATGCAAGAGAGGGGAAATAGAATTTGCCTCTGAGTAGAAGGCATGACAAAGAATCTATGGCTAATTACAATTTATCAAAGCTAATACAAATTGCCTTTCTTTTTTAAGATTTTTTATTTTTAAGTAATCTCTACACCCAAACTTACAACCCCAAGATCAAGAGTCACATGCTTTATCGCCTGAGACAGCCAAGTCACCCCTCTGAATTGCCTTTTGAAGGCTTATTTGGCAACATACATATAAAAATCTGTAATGTCCAACCCGAGAATATGTGTGGAAGGAAGAAACTGATGCCAGTGATTGCTTCTGGAGTAAAGAACTAATGAAGGACACAGGAATAGAAAAGAGACTTGCTTTTCAATAGGATAGATTTGGTACCTTTTGCATTTTGTACTAAGGGTATATTGAAGAAATAAATAGATGTGTACATATTCTTCTAACCAGCAATTCCATTTTTAAAAGAGATGTCTCAAAGAAATACATATTTACAGTGAGGT